GGAGGGAGGAGAAAGAGTCAGCTGCCAGGTTGCTTGAGGAAAACAACCCAGCTTTGGAGGCGGATGTGTTAGAGTTTAGTTTAGTTTAGAGAGAAGTGAGCTGGCTTGGGAGATGACGGAGCATCTGGTTTAGAACAGTCCTTGGGCTGGAAGTGGGCTGGGGCGTCTAGAGAGTTCTTTGAGGATGTGAGAAGTACACTACTTTGGGGAGGAAGGTTGGTTGAGAGTGTGCGGGGAGAGTCTGATGGGACTGGTTGGTCACTGCTATCTAGTGTCCTCATAGCAAGTCTGGGCTGGGTGGGGTGGGGGCAGCACCTCTGGAGATGGACACAGATAAGCAGTGGGCTTGGAGGAGGCAACTCTTAGGAGGGAAACCCTTAGCTGGGTATAAAAGACAGCTGGCCTGAGCCCCATCCTATGCCCAGGGGGTAGACGAGGGCCCCAAAGGGCTGAAGCTCATCTCTGAAGTGATTGGGGAACGCCTTGGCATCCCCATGAGTGTGCTGATGGGGGCCAACATTGCCAGCGAGGTGGCCGAGGAGAAGTTCTGTGAGACAACCATTGGTGAGAGCCCCTGTCCACACCACGAAGCTCGAGCTGCTTCCCAAGCTAATCCCACTGGGCAGGGAAAGAAGAAAGCAACAGAGCTGAGGGTGGGGGCGGGGCATGGGGGAGGGGCTGTGCCTCTTGCTTTGACTGGTGTGTGAGGGACAGTCAATTTTCCCTTTGCCAGGTACTTGTGCAGTGGTGTGCACCTATAGTCCCAGCTACTCAGGAGACTGAAGCAGGAGGATTTCTCGAGCCCAGGAGTTCCAGGCCAGCCTGGGCAACACAGCAAGAGCCCGTTTTAAAGATAAAAATAAAAAGCCTTACCCCTCTCCATTTTAGGCTGCAAGGATGTGGCCCAGGGACAGCTCCTGAAGGAGCTGATGCAGACGCCCAACTTCCGCATCACTGTAGTACAAGAGGTGGATACAGTGGAGATTTGTGGGGCCTTGAAGGTGAGAGTTGAGAGTTGAAGGCATAATGAGGGAAGTCCATGAGAGCCCGGAATAAAGGATAACAAATATTTATTTGGGGGGAAAACTCCCAATAAGGGTAGAGAGCCGCGATCTTCTCCTCTGTGGGCGCTAGAAGCTGTGAACAAAACTCCGACCACCACCCAAGAGAGCAAGGGCGTCTCCATCCATGCTTATCAGTCCACGCAGGGCACCTCAGACCACGCCCTAATGGGCGGTGCCCAAGAGGCTATTGGCTAAAAGCCTTTCGTCTTCAGGGAGCAGTCCCCAGAGGGCCCAGCTCAGCTCTTCAAGGTTGCTGGGACCAACTCTTGCTCTTGGTCAATATTTCCATCTCCACATCACATCTTCCCTTACACACAGAAGACCCTTAAGCAAAGTCAGGGTAACCTCTGCTGACTCTTCTCCAGTGGGTCTTCCTGCACTCTTATTAGTGCCCCTTTGAGACATACCTAGTCCTGGGTCCCTGTGATAGTCCAAGTCGAAGAGATGTCCAGGTTAACGGGAGACAAGATGTCCAGGGTACCCACAAAGTTGATAGCCAGAACTGTGGTGGCATGTATCTTTAACCCCAGCACTTGGGAGCGGTAGGCAAGTATCTGTGACTTTGAGGCCAATCAGGGCTACATAGTGAGTCACTGTCTAAAAAGAAAACAAAATAAAACAAGGCCTGGTGGTGGTGGTGACACACGCTTTTAATCCCAGCACTCGGGAGGCTGAGACAGGCGGATCTCTGTGAGTTTGAGGCCAGCTGGTCTACATAGAGAGTTCTAGGCCAGCTCAAGTTCATGATGAGGCCTTGTCTGGCAAAAATAATAAAGGTGAAAAGTGATTGAGGAAAACCATGTCAATCTGTGGCTTCTACACACAGACACACAGATATATCTGCACAGACACAGACACACACACACACACACACACACATACACAGAGAGTGAGAGGAAAAGGCATGTTTTAAAATGGGAAATCAGGAGGCAGAGGACACAGTTTAAGAGGTCACGTCATACTTCACTTAGTGGGCGTGTCAGGATTGATATGATAACACCACGGAGCCTCTGGAGAGGAAACTTTCTCACCCCTGCCCTTCTACTCCTCAAAGAATATAGTGGCCGTCGGGGCTGGCTTCTGTGACGGGCTCGGCTTTGGTGACAACACCAAGGCGGCAGTGATCCGGCTGGGGCTCATGGAGATGATCGCCTTTGCCAAACTCTTCTGCAGTGGCTCTGTGTCCTCGGCCACCTTCCTGGAGAGCTGTGGCGTGGCTGACCTCATCACTACCTGCTATGGAGGGCGGAACCGCAAGGTGGCGGAGGCTTTTGCTCGCACTGGAAAAGTAGGCATGCTGGAATCGAGGTGTGGGTGATCAACAGGAAGGTGGTATCTGGGAGGCTGAGGCAGGAGAGTGATGCCCACGAGGCCAGCCTGAGCTGTGTAGCCAGACCCTGACTCAAAAGCAGGCAGGCAAGCAAAAATGGACACGGCCTGGAATGCTGCTCAGTGGCTGAGGACTTGCCCGCACAGTGCTGCTCGAGGCCCTGAAGGGGATCCCCGCAAGACCGCGACTTTCCTGCTCAGACAGACCTGCTCTCACTTCCATCCACGTGTCCTTTTCTTCACAGTCCATTGAGCAGCTGGAGAAAGAGATGCTGAATGGGCAGAAGCTTCAGGGGCCCCAGACAGCCCGGGAGCTGCACAGCATCCTTCAACACAAGGGCCTTGTGGACAAGTGAGTGTTTGCCACGGCCCCTAGGGGTGGGAGCTAGAAGTTGATTGCCACTCCTCTTGGGGAATCTTTTTGAACCCCACACGACCTATGTGACGGACAGAGAGGGCTTGCAGAGTCTGGGGTATCCTCGGCCAGCTCACCTTCTTGTTGTGATCTTTACAGTAGCTGTTTGGACCCTTTTGCTCAGTCTCTACTTTCTGCGCTGTCCTCCCTCCCCTGCTCTAGGAGCTGGAGTTCTAGGACAGGAAAACTCACTTGACTGTTTTACCCCTTTGTCTGTTCCCCCAAAACCACCATTTCTGTCCCCCGACACCTGTCCTGGGTGCTGATGAGGACAGGCTCTGCCTCAAAGTGCTCCTTTCCAGGGAGCACAGAGAGAATCCCAGATGAAAGAGGGTATGGCGCAGGTTCAGAAGGACAGCTCGTGACTTTGAGGATAGGAAATAGCCACTCGAGGATGACAAGAAGTAACAGGCACAGTATACTGTCACATCAAATATAAATAACTACATCGTTGCTACTTTATCATACTGGACCCATTTAACAGCCAATGGCACTGAGGCCCAGAGAGTTAGAGGGTTACTCAGTCTAAAACAAAAATCTCTGAAAGCCTGGGACTCAGATAAGTAAGTACAGTATGGTAAGGATCAGGGCAGATAGCACCCCCAAATCCTATGGTTAGGAATTCAGATTCCTGGCAGGTGGTAACTGAGAGATGACATCTGCCTTCTGCCTGAACTCCCAGAGGCTAGGGAAGTGGTGGCTTAGGCCTGGGGTCTGGACTGCATGGGTGTGGGTGTTTGTGGGGAACTAAGCCGAGTCTCCTTCTCACTCTAGGTTTCCTTTGTTCACGGCTGTGTACAAAGTGTGCTACGAAGGTCAGCCAGTGGGTGAATTCATTCACTGCCTGCAGAACCACCCAGAACACATGTGAGTGGAGCCAGGGCGCAGGACAGGCAGCTCCTTTGCCCCATCGGAGACAAGCAGAAGCTTGTGACAGCTGTCCTAAGACCGAGCTCCAGGACTCCCAGCCAGCAGGGTCCTCACTGAAGGGCACTGAGGCTGTGGGCCTCAGCTACGCACCTGGAGATACAGGATTGCTGCAGAGCCTGTGGCCCCTTCAGGATTGGTGCTTCCTCGCTGTCCTCTGGGAAGTGTAGAATCAAGCCCCACTGCTGCCTGCTCCAGGGGTGGGATGGGGGGGAAGGGAAGGTGCAGGGCAAGGGCTGCCGGTTGCTGCCTCACACACACTGGGACTTTGTCCCCAGTCCATTAAGTGACTGAAGAAGTACTTTAGCCACAGGAAGAACGAGGAGGCAAAGGCTGCCAAGGGAAGGGTCTGGACACCTGAGCTGACAGAGACCCGGAGACCCCATGGCTGACCTCTGCTAGGCCACACGCAGCATCAATGATCTCAGTGTTTGCTAGCAAAATACAAAGATCTCCAACAACTTCCTTTTAACTTCTCCTAGCAACAATTGCATTCTGAGAAGCCTCTGCTCATTCTTTCCCCCTCCCCCAGGCTACTCTGGCACAAGAGTTGCTCCAGACTGGCATCTCTGGCCCGGGGGCTTGCCATGCTTCCCAATGACTTCCTGGTTCCTCGAGCTTCGCCAGTCAGCGCCTCTCCACCCTGTGTGACCTTTCAAAGCTTTTCCTTGCTTGTACCAGGTCACCACACCCTCTTTGGGGAGCAGGAATTTAATCTGCTGACAGAGCTAGCTACACTTTTTCATAGCAGGCTCAGATCACCCAGGCTCCCCTGACCTTCTTATTTGTCCCGCCCTCTTGGTCAGTAGCTCTGGCTGGGGGAAGTGTCAGCTAGCCTCTCCTACTGCTGACAAGACATCCCAACCCCATCTTTCTTCTCAGGGTCCTCCCCACAAGGCCACTTCTCTTTAGTGTCATCACCACCTTCTTGTGTAACACAATGCAGGATTCATACTCATCTGCTTCAGCTCCTTCATCCATCCCATATTCTTGACTCTTTGCCTTCAGCTGTCCTCAGACTGCCAGGAGTGCTAGTCAGCATCTGAAGTAGCCCCAAGGTTCAGTATGTTTCCACAGTGGCTGGTGGCTCTTGATAGTCCAGTGCCAGCTCTCCTTGGAATGAGGTCCTCGTGAAGCACTGACCACACACCAGGAGCTGGGAAAGTCAAGGGAGGGACCACTGCAAACTGCTTGCCCTGGGGTGAGGGAAGAACAGGATGGGGGATGGGAAGTGTGCTCTGCACTGGCCTTTTTCCAAGGCCGGGGCAGCCGGAGAATGTCACAGATCAGCAGCCTGGAGCCCTAGCTATAAATAGCCCCTGAGAGTCGAGAGGCTTCTTCCTCCAGCAGGGGTCTCTATTTCGTGTGTGGCAATAACTGGCACACTGTGGCTCTCCAGCTTTATGTTAAACTAACACAGTAAAATGCCAAGCGCTTCTCTGCGCCTAGCCCTTAAGGATTCGGTCTTACCAATGAAGGTCGGGTAAGGTGAAGAGGGGGAGCCCTTTCATCCTTCGTGCTGGGCCGGAACCCTCCCACGCATTGACTGAATTTAGAGCTGCCTCCCAGGAGGCTGGGGTAGGATGCAGACACAGATTCCATCACCTGTACTCTGATCAGTCAGTCAACTGTGAATCTGAGGCCTTCTGTCAGGCCACTTGTCCACCCAATAAAGTGTGGTTTTTCCAGAAACTGGAAGAGTTGGCGAGGTTTTTGCGCCGGTGCATGTGGCAGGGTGCGGGGTCATGTATCACTGCATGCATGTTTTACTCAATGTGAAAGAAAGAGTTCTTAGATAACAGCAGCCACTCTCGGGCATCAATCAGCACTGGCATCCAACTATACCCCCTCCTTTTTCCCGTCGCCCCCGCTTGCGCGTCCTATTCCCCTCCTCCATCCAAGCTGTCACCCAGTCTTCCCCCAGCGCTTCTTAGGGGCTCTGCAACGCAGCCTGCATACAAGGAGGCTGCGCACAAAGCAGAAACACTAGCGAGTCCCTCCTCGTGCTGTGGCCCCATAGTGCAGGTCCGGTACGGATCACCCAGTAAAGGGCCGCTCCAAGCACTAGGGGGCGCACGGTCCGTGTCTGGAGGAGTCCGAGACACTACTCTCCCTAGCTACAGTTTACGTCACAGTACCGTAACTGGGGATTGGCTAAAAATTTTCCGGTTTTCCAAGTATGGGGTACCAAGAAGCGCTTTTTGATGGAGCAGAACCACAACCCCCAGAATTCAATGGGCCTTTCGGAAAGGAAGACGAGTCTGAGCGTGCGGAGCCTGGAAGAGAGAGACGGAAACGGAAATTTGAAGCCGGCTCCCGCCCCAGTGGGCGGGTTTTCGCAGGGGTGCGGGGTCACGGCCAGGGCTTCGCACCAGTGAATGAGGCGCTCGTGTCTTTTCTGCCGCCCGGCTCTGACTCCAAGTGGCGGACTGACGCGGCCCAGCTGCAGCATCCAGGTAGGCGGCGGACTAGGAGGCTCCGTTCTCCCGCTCTCCCCGCTTCCCTCCCAAGCTCCCCGGCTCGCCCGCTCCCCCAGTCTTCACCTGTGCCCTTGAGAGCGCGCTGCCAGGGTGGCTGCGACCGCGACCGCCGGGTCCCCTGACTGCCTTGGCCATACCGTCTTCCTGGCGTGACCGCGACCTGACTGCCCTCCCTCTGCTAAATCTGCCTGTCTTCCTATAAATGCAGCCCAACCCCAGAGCTTCCGCCAGCTTCTCACGCAAAGCCGCGTCTCTGCGGTCTTCATTACCTGCCGATCTGACACACTATGGGGTCCCCTGCTTTCCTTTTCTGAGTCACAAGCTCTTTTCTGTGAACTCCAAATGATTTTTATTTTTGTGTGTGTTTGATTCAGTTGGGCAGTGTTTCGGACCAAACCCAGAACTAGAGCGAAGGGTCTATCATGAGTGGCTCTGAACTTTCCAGAAACACGAGCCTTGAGCTCTATCACGTTTGAGGGCAGAAAGTCAGTCTCACAACCCTTGCGATTGCACCCTTGTGGCATTTATCATGATTATTCCTTCCTTATTTTTTTTTTCTGTAACCTGCAGTTCATTCCTACATTTCCTAACAGCTTTTGTTAAAAAAAATGCGCATCAGATGTCATACGAAACGTTTTGCCAATCTCAAAAGTTTCTCTTATTTCCAAAGTTGATCCTTGTACCTGAGCTTCTAATTTCAGTTTTTCTGAGTTTATCCTGGATTTACTTCTGTTTGTATCAACCCCTCCGCACTTTTTTTGGAACAGGGTCTCATGTAGCCCATACTGGCCTGGGATTCATTAAGTAGCTAAGGCTGATCTCGAATTTGGATCCTCCTGCCTGCACATCCTGGGTACTGGGATTTCCTCCATTAAATTTATTGCTGGGGATTGAACCTCCGGCTTTGTGCATGCTCCATCCCATTTTAGAACATACTTAGATCTTTGTCAGTGAACAAGATGGAACCAGCATGCCAGACTGGTACCCGGTGACTCCAGCACTCAGTGGGCAGAGAAAGGAGGATCGAGCGGCTAGCCGAGGCTACAGAGCAAGACTCTCAAAAAAGTCCAAACACTTAGAATTTTCTTCCTTCCTTCCTTCTTTTCTTTCTTTCAGATTTATTTATTATGTATACAATATTCTGTCTGTATGTATACCTGCATGCCAGAAGAGGGCGCCAGGTCTCATTACAGATGGCTGTGAGCCACCATGTGGTTGCTGGGAATTGAACTCAGGACCTCTGGAAGAGCAGCCAGTGCTCTTAACCACTGAGCTATCTCTCCAGCCCCCTAGAATTTTCTTGATCTCATTACCTTCCCATTCTCGTAATCCCACCATCTAAATTCTAAGAATTTTAATTCTTATCTTTGGGGTGAAGCGGCTGTGATGCTCTTAGTAACCAGTTTTTCTCTGATCTGGAAGAATACTAGACACAGGGATGTTGCAGGATTTAAAGCCTGCTGGAGCCCAGTGTTTACCAAATGCCTAGAGCTCCTCTCCCAGTTCACTGCACTAAATTGACTTCAGCCCTGGACCTAACTGGAGACAGTCTCCTGTTTATCAGGTAGTCCTAAACTGCTGTGTCCTGAAAGTCCTAATACGTCTCAGGGAACTGAAAAAGCCAGATTAATAGTGAAAAACAGAAAAAGGAGATTTATTCAGTATCACTAAACAGACTAGGACCCACCCTCTCTCTGCATGCTTGAGTCTACCCTCGGGTCTTAACATGAGGGTAGAATTGGACTACCACAATTAAGTGGTCTGATTCAGATGTTCTGAGGTTGGAGAGGTGGCTCAGCAGTTAAGAGCACTTACTGTTCTTCTCGAGGACCTGGGTTTGATTCCCAGCACAGTCTGGGTGTCTGGGTGGGCTAATCATTTTTTAAAGCACAAACAAGGAGGGCTGAGTGTTGGGTGTGACGGCATTCAGATGCGCCTGCTCCCGGCCTTCTGTGTACCTCACGTGCAGCCTTTATTCACCCTTTAAGTCCGAGAGCTACACGTGGGGTCACTGTCGCAGGATGCATCAATGAAATAAAGATGTAGACGATAACAAATGGCTCTAAGCAGGGAGATGAGGCCTGTCCTAGAGACCAACTCCAGTCTGTGTTTTGTAGGGGAAGACATGCCAACTGCCAAGCAGTTAGCTGACATTGGCTACAAGACCTTCTCTGCCTCCATGATGCTGCTCACTGTGTACGGGGGTTACCTCTGCAGTGTCCGAGCCTACCGTTATTTGCAGCTGCGTAGTGCCAGGCGCCAGGCTGCAGAAGAGCAGAAGACATCGGGAGTCCTGTAGAGCTCAGGCTTGAGACATGAGATGGAAAGACCTCCCCTGCACACCATCCACATCCACGGCAAGAGCTAGGGCCACGATGGCTCTCAAATCTGCTGGACTAAAATGCCGTGGTTTCTGTGGTCCTCCTGACTTGGGCAGTTTTGACAGTTTGTGAAGGCTGTCGGATAAGTGGCAGTGTGAGGTTGAGGCTCATTACAGAGATTAAATATTTTGCCATGTTTGTGTCTTAGTGTTTTTGTGTAGCCAAAGAAAGTTTGGAGCTGGGTGCTATGGTGCACACCTTTAATCTTAGCATTCGGGAGGCAGAGATAGGCGGATCTCTGTGAGTTTGAGGACAGTCATGGCTATACAGAGAGACTCTCGCAAAAAAAAAATGAAAAAAGAGTGTTTGGATTGGAGGTAGAGCCTTGACCTCCAGTTTTCTAATCATAGCCTGGTGTCTTAGTTACTTTACCTCCGTTGTTGTTTCAGACAGGGTCTCTATGTAGCCTTGGCTGTCCTGAAACTCTGTAGACCAGGCTAACTTTGAACTCACAGAGATCCTCATGCCTCTGCCTCCCAAGCCTGGCAGTATCTTTTCTATTGCTGTGAAGACACCAAGGCAACTCATAGGAGAGTTCATTTGGACCTTACAGTTCCAGAGGGTGAGCCCATGACCATCCTGGTAGGGCGTATGGCAGACAGGCGAGAGCTTAACATGGGATCCACAGGCACAAGACAGAGAACTAACTGGGAATGACCCACCCCACTGACACACCTCCTGAAATGGCCACACCTCCTAATCCTTTCCAAACCGTTCAACAGTTGGAGGATCAAGGATTCAAATATTCATGTCTGTAAGGGCCATTCTTGTTCAAACCACTACACATGGGTTCATGGAACTCAGTTATCATCCATGGATTAAGATCAGTTTTATCAGTATTATAGGGCTGTAGCATCTCAGAGAAAAGCTGTTCCAGAATTTGTTGATTTGCTTAACTCTGGTTTTTCGAGATAAGGTTTCTCTGTGCAACAGTCCTAGCTGTCCTGAAACTAGTTCTGTAGACCAGGCTGGCCTGGGACTGAGATTTGCCTGCCTCTGCCTCCCGAGTGCTGGGATTAAAGGCGTACGCCACCACCACCCAGGTTCTTTGCTTACCTCTTGGCGTACGGCCTTGTGCATACCGTAAGTAAACATGCATGCTGCCTCTGAGACATAACTCCAGCCTCTGTACTAGCATCTATGCAGACCACTTGAGAAAAACCATTCTGGGCAAGTGACCAATTACTGCGTCTAAGGAATGGGGCCATTTGTCTGGACCAGGGAAGGCAGGCCCTTATTGTTTAGGTCTAATGCAGCAATGTGGAATAGCGCTAGATCATGAAGGATTGTTGGCTAGCATGTAGTAAAGCAGATCACGTGATAAAGCCAACATGGAAGGGTAGATTTTGAACCCTGCTACTTAGTGCCTCTCAGTCTGCATATAGCTCTTGCAGAGATTGAAAGAGGATTTGAAAGAACAGTGTACTCAAGGGAGGTGAGATAGCTTAATGGGAGTCTTTGGCCAGGCCTGGAGACCCACATGGTGGGTGTGAGAACTGACCTCACAAGTCTTCCGGCCACATATGCACCATGGCATGTGCGCCCACCCCTACCGCATGTGTACCATGGTATGTATGTGTGCCCCATCCCCCATCAAATAAAATATAAAAAGGTGCATTCAAGAAAAGCCTCACCAAAAGGAGAGATTCCTGCCCCCATTCCTTTTAGAACTTTGCTTACTATGAACCATATGTTTACTTTTTGTTACTTAGTTTTTGAGGCAGGGTCTCATGTAGCTGTTTGGGCCCGACTGACCTTGAACTTGCACTGCCCTTTCTGCCTCTGCTCCTCAAATACAGTATAGTGATATTTATGTCTTTTTTGTTGTTGTTGTAAGAACTGATTGGCCCATTATCTCAGCCTTCTTCTTCTTATTTTTTTTTTTTTAAAGAAGGCATTGCTTTGAATTTAAACACTGAATAACAGCAGTGGTACAGAATATGCTCACGACTTGGGGTGAACACTATGGGCCTCCCTGACAGATGTCATTACTGTAAACACCAGAAGGACCTCCATCTCCGACATAATTAGAACTAGATAAAGGACAGTGGGCGTGTTCCAGTGAAGAGTTTGCCAGTGTCTGTCTAGGTCTGCTGTAGCTACTGAGCAAATGGGTTGGCATGAATAGTTGTGTGCTTGATGTGTACGTCATTAAGAGGTCTGTATGTCTTCTCGTTCACTGGTAACTTCTCCAGTTCATCCAAAGTCTCCAGACCATCTGTGACCTTTCCAAGCACTGTGTACTTCATGTCCAGATGCAGCTGCTTGCCATAGGTGATGAAGAACTGAGATCCGTTGGTATTTGGGCCATTATTAGCCATAGGTACAGCACCTCTAACACTGTGCTTCAGGTACTCGCTGTACTCGTCCTCAAACTGTCTGTTGGGTCTCCTGTCTGAACCATGAAACCCTTGATGTTCCTATGAAATACACAGCCATTGTAGTAATTATTGGCACAAAGAACCAAGAAATTCTCACGTCTTAGGTGTCATCTTACAGAAGACTTCTATTTTGACATCTCCCACATCTGTGTGCAATGTCACAGACGTCCTCTCTCCATGGCTCCAGGAAGATTTGCACAGAAAACCTGAAGATGAGTTCCTGATCCTGACAATCGTATTTAAAAGCACCCTTCCCGTAGTAGCAGGCATTAGTACTAGTATGTATTCTCCTATCAAGTCCCTCTCCAGTCCAAGAGTTCACCACAAGCATCCCAGGAAATAAAATATGGGTGCAGCGAGGCAGGGAGTGCACAAATCAAAGGAGAAATGCTGTTGCCTCACACTTGCCCACTTCGCTCAGAGCCACCTCTGCTCTGAAACCGAAAAGCCTGACCGCAGGTGCCGGCATGTCTGCTGGCTGCAAATGAGCAAGTGCTTTTGCCCCACCGGAAGTGGAGCATGTGGCCCCGGCAGAGATCCCCCACTTCCTGGTCAGTCTCAGCAGAGATCCCCCACTTCCTGGTCAGTCTGTGCTCTCAGCACCACAGACAGGAACACTGAGAAACAACCACCCACAGCCTTACATGGGTCAGTGGAGTCCTCAGGCTTCTTACTAACTCTTACAACTTATATTAGCCATCGTTCTTGTTTATGTTAGCCACGTGGCTCGGTACCTTATTCAGCGAGGCAGTCACATCTTGCTTCTTCTGTGGCTAGGCTAGGACTTCAGAGGAATGGGCTTCCTTCTTCCCAGCATTCTCCTGTTCTCATTGACCCACCTCTACTTCCTGTCTGGTTGTATTACCTATACTTCCTGCCTGGCTACTGACCAATCAGCATTTATTTAAAATATAGTTGACAGAACACAGACAATTGTCCCACACCTCTTCCCCCTCTTTTTTTTTTTTAAATAACAAGAACTCTGAATCTGATATCTTTTGTTTCGCTTTTCTCCTGACCATTAGCCATAACAACTTGTAACCAACATTCTAAACAAAGGAAAATATCCATAGTCCATTTTTGGGGAATGTGGGCATAGTTCTCCAGGCTACTTCCTGCTGGTTGGGGGGTGCTGATATTCTTATGGGAACCTAAAGAAAATTTAGAGTTATGATCAAGTCTTGACTAGAGTATCCTGTGAGGCTTGATCATCTCAGGCAGCATCTTGAATCTGTTCTGGATGTAGAATTCAGACATCTGGGCTATCTGTTCCTACTGGAGATTTCTCAGGTGATCTACCTTGATCAAACCTGATTTTTCTTTGCTCAGAATAAATCCATAGCTTCTCATTTTCTGTGGAAACAAAAGCAAAACCTCTTCTCCAAAGTAACATATCTTTTGACTTCAGTTTTGAAGTCAAGGTATTTTCAAAATAGCTATCTTGGATTAATTCAGCAGCATTTATAAACAAATATCTTTTAGCAGCTGTTGCTCCTTCCTCAGCATTCAAACTATTCAAAGGGAACATAATAACATACAGTATCTAGACTCTCTGTGTATCTTTATATGGCTTTATTTTAACCTCTGTTTCTTTTATTTTTATTTTTAATTTTTGGCTTTTTGAGACAGAATTTATTTGTGTATCTTTGTCCTGGAATTTACTCTGTATACTAGGTTGTCCTTGAACTCACAGAAATCTGCCTACCTTTGCCTCCTAAGTGCTGGGATTAAAGGTGTGTGCCACCACGCCTTAAACACACAGAGGTCTGCCTGCCTCTGTCTTCCAAGTGTTAGGATTAAAGGTGTGTGCCACCACACCCAACTACTCTCTTTTTTATTTTGAGGACTTTAACCTTTTTCTTTTTTCTCCTAAGCCTGCATATATTTTTAACACACTGTAAACCATTTAGAGGTTTTCTCGTCTTTGAATTTCTCTTTACTGTATACTCTTTTTCTGACCACACGAGTCTTTGATTTGCTAAGCAATATGGCTTGGATTAAAGCTGTGGCTTTGACGGCTGGATCCAGCCCATTCCTTAGCTTTCTGAGATTCCAGCCTCAGGGCGGAGGTACCTGGCTGTAGCTATCTATGTTTATTGCCACAACTCTATGGTGTTTCAAGGTCCCTGCCAGCAAGCAAGCTGCAGCATTGTGCTCCCAAGCCACACTCAAATGCTCTGTAGTTGGACTGCCTGCCTGAAAGAGTCAGAGTTTGTGCTGGCAGGACGGCCCAGAAAGCCGACATTTTAAAGTGGTGCAGCTTTTTTCCTGCTACAGCTGAAAACCAAAAAGCATGCGGTCAACTTTTCATCAACATCATTTAAGTGTTTCGTGGCAGGACCTCTTAAAAGAGCTGCAAGGTTTTACAGCTAAAGCTGAGTCAGCCTCTCTTAAATGAGAGTGCTTGCCTCTAGCAAGCAGAGCCCATCTGAGAAAATGCTATCAACAATTCATGCTTAACTCTCTTCTTTTTTGTCTAGAATAACTTCCCAAGCTCTTTCAGGCTTTATGTGGATACAGTTGTCCACATGGGCGCCATTTGTTGACTGAATTTTCTATCCTGCCTTGTTCCCGCAATCGCTAAGTCCCAAATAAATAACACAGAAGTCTACATTAGTTATAAACTGATTGGCCCATTAGCTCAGGCTTTTTATTAACTCATAATTTATATTAGCCCATCATTCTTGTCTATGTTAGCCACGTGGCTAGGTACCTTATTCAGTGAGGCAGTCACATCTTGCTTCTTCTGTGACTGGG